CTAAATGATACCCATTCTCTCTTCATATTCATAGTAGGGCTAAAAATATCCCATCAACCCAATTCTTATACGAAAAAATCACAAATCTGACATTTATTCAAACATTATGCCGGAAACGCATAGCTCTATGCAAATCAACCAGAATATGTCACCTACTTTTTTATTCTGCCTTTGAATGGATAAAAAGATAAAAAATAATGGAAATATTGACATTTTTCTCGTGCTGTCATGGTTTGCATGTCACTACAACAATAACAAGAATGCAGAGACATCTCCAACGGTACAGTATCGGAAAAAGAAATAAAGTATTGATGAAGGTGGAGGTGGGTGCTGGCAATGTTACACCCGGCACACTGAACTCATTGTCAATGAAAAGATGGGAAAAAACATCATTTAGAGGTTGTGGATCAGGAAATCTCATGTGCCTCTCCTCATTACTCGGCATGCAACATGTGGACTTGTTGCTGGGAGTTACCATCCAAACACGATGGTGTAAACAAAGCAGAAGGCCCACAAGGCTAAAGAAATAAATAACAACATCTGCAATGAATAAATTAAGAGTTGACTACTGGTTGGCCGGCTGGACGGATGACTAGATGGATGTTTGAATGACTGGATGGATGGCTGGCTGAGTATGAAATCTGTATGTGGATGTTTGGTGTGAATTATTTCGTAGAAACAAATCAATTGTAAATAAAATATATTGACATCAGACACAACAAAACAACAACAACATCGTCGACATTTCTTTTATTTTTGTTTTCATAACAATAACAATAAAGTAGTATTTTTCGGTCGCTGTTCGTCCTCTACACCCCCTTCCGATAATGTGTGTGTAAATATTTGTTTCCAATGTTTTAATATCGACGATTTCTTTGTTGCATTGCCAGGCGGCTACTTGATGTCAAGAGACATTTTTCTCAAGAGGCTTGTTGGCTGTTGCATTCACACATGTTGAAGGTATTCAAAAATGTTGGATATATTTTCAAACATAACCTCCAAGTGGCTTTAGCTAGTAGCCGAATACAATGTCGAACACGAAAGAAAGGCAATGACATATAACACCTGTACAATGGCAAACATTTCAATAGAAACAGAGCGGACGGCCGACGACCAAGCGAACTAGATGTTATATATACGAATGTGATGCACTAGGAATGGATATTAGGGTGGGGTTTCTTGAGAAAATAGAGTAGCACATATAGGCATTATAAGGCCCCTAAGACTCCACTATAGACAAGAAAAATAAGAGGATTTGCCATGGAATCCAGAAAACTTCTAAGACTTTTGTAAGACCGACCTCCTCTATAACGAACAGAAACAGGCTATCAGGTCTTCTAGTGGATACTTAAAAGACCCAGAGGCCTGCCAATGGTCTTTAGCAGACCAAAATGCCTCCTACCGTCTTTAGAAGGCCCACAGATCTTCTATCATCTATGGAAGACCTAGAAGTCTTTATTTGTCTATGGAGGGGAGTTCAAAATTCATAGGAAATCCTTCTATAGACAAAAGAAGATCTTTAGGTCTTGCATAATAGATAAGAAGATATCTGGGTCTTCTAAAGATAGTAGGGACATAATGGTCTTCTATATACCTCTAGGTTGTCAATAGGCAATAGAAGATCTCTGGGTCTTACACAAATGACCTGGGACCCTATTATCAATGGAAGACCACTGGTTATTCTAATGGTCGTCTGCGAACCTATTGTTTATACAACACCTAGAGGTCTTTAAAAGACCAATATGTTGTCTACTGTCTTTAGAAGGCCCACAGATCTTCTACGATCTATGGAAGACCTAGAAGTCCTCATTAGTCTATGGAAAGGTGTTTAATAATCAATAGAAGACACTTCTAAAGACAAAAGAAGATCTTTAGGACTTTCATAAACGATAGAAGATCCCTGGATCTTCCAAAGACAGTAGGAGACATAATGGTCTTCTATAGACCTCTATGTTTTCAATAGGCAAAAGAAGATCTCTGGGTCTTACAAATATGACCTGGGAGCCTATTATCTATGCAAGACCACTGTGTCTTCTAATTGTCGTCTGCGAACCTATTGTCTATACAACACCTAGAGATTTTTAGAAGATCAAGATGTCTCCTACTATCTTTAGAAGGCCCACAGATCTTCTATCATCTATGGAAGACATAGAAGTCTTCATTTGTCTGTGGAAGGATCTTCAGTAGCCAATAGAAGTCCCTTCTATAGACAAAAGAAGATCTTTAGATGTTTCATAAACGATAAAAGATATCTGGGTCTTCTAAAGATAGTAGGACAGCAAGTCATCTATATTCTTCTATAGACCTCTAGGTATTCAATAGACAATAGAAGACTTATCTGGGTCTTATGAAAATGATCTGAGGCCCCATAATCTATGCAAGACCTATGGGTCTTCTAATGATCGTCTGCGAACCTATTGTCTATATAACACCTAAAGGACCAATATGTCTTCTACTGCCTTTGGAACATCCTCAGATCTTCTATTGTCTACGGAAGACCTAGAAGTCTTGATTTGTCTTTGGATGGGTGTTTAAGGGTGTCCACTAGAATAGAAGACCCTTCTATAGACAAAATAGGACAATAGGACACATAATGGTCTTCTATAGGCTTCTAGGTTTTCAATAGACAGTAGAAGACCTCTGGGACTTATAAAAATGACCTGGGGCCTTATTATCTATGCGAGACCTCTGGGTATTCTAATGGTCGTCTGCGAACCTATTGTCTATACAACACCTAGAGGTCTTTAGAAGACCAATATGTCTTCTATTGATCTTCTTTAAAAGATCTATAAGTCTTCTATAGGCACTGGAAGAGCTCTAGGTCTTCTATTGAATAAAGAAGTCCTCTGGGACTTATGTAGACAGTAGAAAAAAAGAACGATGATTATTTTGCAAAAACAACATTTTTGAAAATATATGACCTGGGCTTAAAAAAATATTTTTAAAAAATCCAAGCCTTGACCTGGTCTTTAAAAAAAATCCCTTTAAAAAAATATTTTTTAAAAATCCACGCCTTGACCTAGGCTTAAAAAAATATTTTTAAAAAATCGAAGCCCTGACCTGGATTTTTTAAAGCCCAGGCCAAGGCGTGGAAAATATTTTTTTAAGCCCTGGCCAAGACGTGAATAATATTTTTTAGCCCTGTCCAAGGCGTGGATTTTTGTAAAGTCCTGACCAAGGCGTGGATTTTTTAAAGCCCTGGCCAAGGCGTGGAAAATATTTTTTAAAGCCCTGGCCAAGGTGTGGAAAATATTTTTTCAAAGCCCTGACCAAGGCTTGGAAAATATTTTTAAAACCCTGGCCAAGGCGTGGAAAATATTTTTTAAAACCCTGGCCAAGGCGTAGAAAATATTTTTTAAAGCCCTGGCCAAGGCGTGGATTTTTTAAAGCTTTGGCCAAGGCGTGGATTTTTTAAAGCTTTGGCCAAGGCGTGCATGTTTTAAAGCCGTGGCCAAGGCGTGGATTTTTTAAAGCCCTGGCCAAGGCGTGGATTTTTTTAAAGCCCCGGGCAAGGCATGGATTTTTAAAGCCCCGGGCAAGGCATGGATTTTTTAAAGCCCTGGCCAAGGCTTGGGAAATATTTTTTAAAGCCCTGGCCAAGGCGTGGATTTTTTTAAAGCCCCGGGCAAGGCATGGATTTTTTAAAGCCCTGGCCAAGGCGTGGATTTTTTAAAGCTTTGGCCAAGGCGTGCATGTTTTAAAGCCCTGGCCATGGCGTGCATGTTTTAAAGCCCTGGTCATGGCGTATTTTTTTTTTAAGCCTGGCCAAGGCGTGCATGTTTTAAAGCCCTGGCGTGGATTTTTTAAAGCCGTGGCCAAGGCGTGCATGTTTTAAAGCCCTGGCCATGGCGTGGATTTTTTAAAGCCCTGGCCAAGGCGTGGATTTTTTCAAGCCTCGGGCAAGTCGTGGAATTTCTAAAGCCCTGGCCAAGGCGTGGAAAATATTTTTAAAACCCTGGCCAAGGCGTGGAAAATATTTTTTAAAACCCTGGTCAAGGGTAGAAAATATTTTTTAAAGCCCTGGCCAAGGCGTGGATTTTTTAAAGCTTTGGCCAAGGCGTGGATTTTTTAAAGCCCTGGCCAAGGCGTGGATTTTTTTAAAGCCCCGGGCAAGGCATGGATTTTTTAAAACCCTGGCCAAGGCTTGAAGAATATTTTCTAAAACCCTGACCAAGGCGTGGAAAATATTTGTTAATGCCCTGGCCAAGGCGAGGATTTTTTAAAGCTTTGGCCAAGGCGTGCATGTTTTAAAGCCCTGGTCATGGCGTGGATTTTTTAAAGCCCCGGGCAAGGCGTGGAATTTGAAAACAAATATTTTTTTAATTTTTTGTATAACCACCCTAACATCCAACCAGATAAATTGTGCACGGTCTGCCGCCAACAACTCAGCCAGTTAGTAAAAAAGTGACAGAAAAACAAATAAAACTACAACAACATTGTTTTTATTGTTGGTGGTTTAAAATTTAATGAAATTGAGATGACATTTGAAGGAAATACAGTTTTTCCTACAACCATAAATAGAGGGTGGCTGGGAGGAGGATAGAGTGAAGGTGGCACGACAGGAAGATGCAAGGTGATGATGTTTGAAAAAAATATATTATTGTTGCTACTAAGACTAACAATGGATCTGGTTGTTTTGATCTTCACATTACATCTGTCATCAGAGATCGTTAACCTGCTACGTTGTGGGAGGGGGAATATGGAGGGAGTGTGTGTGTCCAATTGTTTGAATGGCTGGCTGGTTGATGTTTAGAAGAAATTCCCGGAATTCGGGAAATAAAAAATGTATATATAACAACCATTGTTCGGCATAGACTAGCGGCAAAGGGTGTGAATATTTGCGGTGTGGAACATGACCCTTTGCCCGCATTAAATCATAGGGGCATGGAGGGGAGATTTTAGATTCCCTCCCACTATTTTTATATTATTTTTTTATTTTTTTATTTTAATTTTTAATATTTTCTTTTTTGATTTTTTGCTTTTTTGGAAATTGAACTTACCTGACTGTGATCCACCGGCAATTTGACGCATCTCCTTGGTGAATTCCTTGTTGCCAAACTGACATGATAAATCATGAACGGTGCGTGGCTCTCCCTTATCGAGCAGACGTTCCAAAAAGAATAGCAACGTCATGTTGCGTGCCATTTCATATTCCATGGACTCCATACTGGTGGGGTTGGTAGTGGTGGTGTTGAGGTTGTTTCTAAAATTCTAGGTATTGCCTTTTTTTCGCAGTAGTTGTTGTTGTAATTGTAATATATGTAATTTATTTAACGTAATTTGAGTGTTTCGTTTCTGTTGTTGTTGTTTTTGTTTCGTAGTTAGTTAGCACAACCCTTCTTAAATAAAATTATTGTAATTGTGAATTGTCGATGTTGTTGTTTTTTATTTGATTTTTTTTTATTTTATTGTTAAATTTACAAGTGGGCGATAAAAATATAGGAAGCTCGCGTTGATGTTTTTTTTTTTTTTTTTTGATTATTTTGTTGTTTTTGGCGGTGGTGGTGTTTTGATTTTTTTTTTCTTTTTTTTTGTTAAGGCAGTTGTTGTGGGGTGAAACTCTGACGTATTTTATTTTAATAAGCTATGTTGTTATCTACAAATATAAGAAGAAGAAAAATATAAAGAAATTAAATTAATTAAATTATTTTATTAAATTTTAAATAATCTATTATTTTATAGGAAAAATTATGCAATATTTTGTCAAGTCAAAAGAAAACCAGTAAGGAAAGCAATAAAGTTGGACTGGGCCGACTATATGATACCCTTCACCACTTTGGGTATATTCAACAGATGGAATCCTAACAGACGTCGCTTTTCCAAGGAACATTGACATGAAATTGAGCGAACTTAAATCTGAATCGAACCCGATTTTCTCAAACATAACACACGAGCTTTGGTAGGGACAGATTTCCATCTCAAAGGCACGAAAATCCCCATGAACATGCAGAACAACAACAACAAGTGTAAATACAAATACAGAAAAAAACACAAAGTTTCTGTAAATCAGGGTTAGCCAACAATACATATGCAAACTGCTATGATTGTGTTGGGCACACGCATAGATCCGTTGGGAGAGTAATTTTCGCTCTCTCGGTACAGATCGTCTATGTTAAAGCATTGCAAAGCATACGACATGTTCGATGTCGAGAATGATGTTGAGTTCGAATACAGAACTGTGATTGTATTGGTACAGTGTAAATACACTTGTCCTGAGTGAACAAATATATAAAAGAGGTTGCAGAAATACTTCAACGTACAAAACATTCAATTATAGTAACATCGATTTTAACGAAACTGAGCACACATCATTCTGGACTTAATTCAGTACCCTATGCCAAATTTCGTGGAAATCGAAAGATATATAGGCACTTTGGAGCCCTATTTACATTTAATCGAACGAAAATATATATGGGTGCTATATATAAATCGGACCCAATTTTCTCGAAATTTAGACTCAATTGACTACACCATGCAAAATTAGGCTCAATTGACATGCAAATCGAAAGATATATAGGGACTTTGGTACCCCATTTACCTTAAATCGGACGAAAATACATACGGGATCTATATAAATCTGACCCGATTTAATCGAAACTTAGCACACGTCATTCTAGACTCAATTCAATACACTATGGAAAATTTCGCGCAAATCGAAAAATATAAAGGGACTTTGGTGCACCATTTACATAAAATCGGAAAAAACTATATATGGGAGCTATATCTAAATTTGAACCGATTTTCTCGAAACTTAACACACATCATTCTGGACCTAATTCAGTAACCTATACCAAATTTTGTGGGACTTTGGTGCCCCATATACATTAAATCGGATGCAAATATATATGGGAGCTATATCTAAATCTGAACCGATTTTCTCGAAACTTTGCACATAAAATTCTCGACCTAATTCAGTACCCTATGCCAAATTTTCCGCATATCGAAAGGTATATAGGGACTTTGGTGCACCATTTACCTAAAATCGGACGAAAATATATATGGGAGCTATATCTAAATCTGAACCGTTTATCTAAAATCGGACGAAAATATATATGGGAGCTATGTCTAAATCTGAACCGATTTTCTCGAAACTTCACACATAACACTCGACCTAATTCAGTACCCTATGCATAATTTCGTGCAAATCGAAAGATATATAAGATCTTTGGTGCACCATTTACATAAAATCGGGCAAAAATATATATGGGAGCTATATTTAAATCTGAACCGATTTTCACGAAACTTAGCACACATCATTCTAGACACAATTCAGCACACTATGCCAAATTTCTTACAAATCGAAAGATATGTAGGGACTTTGGTGCACCATTTACCCAAAATCGGACGAAACTATATATGGGAGCTGTATCTAAATCTGAACCGATTTTCAGGAAACTTAACACACATCACTCTAGACTTAATTTAGTACGCTATGCCAAATTTCGTGCAAATCGAAGCATATATAGGGACTTTGGTGCACTATTTACCTAAAATCGGACAAAAATATATGGGAGCTATATCTAAATATAAACCGATTTTCCCGAAACTCACCACTCATCATTTCAGACTTTCAAAGCGATCCCCCCCATTCTCGGGGTCAAAATTTTTGTTGATATGGTTCGAATCTACACTAATTAAAGAATGTCCCTACAAAATTTCAATATATTTCCGCCCTCCAGTGTGGTTTCCTACTAAATAATGTATGAATACGTAAGCACCTGTAAATATTTAAGTGTAACTCCCGCATCCGAGTACCTACGACAATATAATTGGTATCAATTTAAAGGTCAACCACTCCTCATGGATATACTGTCAACTTCTGGGGTCTATGACCTTCAGGAGTACATATATACGCCATAGAATAATTTATTTTTAATATTTCACACAAAAGTCACGGTCAATTTGACCATAAATATTAACCGATCTTTATCAAAACAGGCATGCTTATTCCTTGGCCGGATCCGCTTCTCCATGTAAAAATTAGAGATGTTTGGGCCATCAATTGCGACCTCTGTAGCGACCAGAAAAACCGACAAAAATAAGTGTTTGGCCCATTTCATAGGGGCTTTTATTGGCCAGAAACCATCCTACATGAAAAATTCCGTGAAGATTGGTCCATAACTGTGGCCTGTATCGTGTTTACAACTTATAATGGACAGACCGATGGACACACAAGTCTACATCGACTCAGCTAGTCGAGATATGATATGATCGGTCGAGATATGATTTGATCGGCATACTTAAAGGTGTATCAAGGACCAATATTTCGCAGCGTTACAAACTCTTGCGGCTGCACAAAACTATAGTACCCTGACAACATAGTTGAGTAGGGTATAAAAATCCGCACAAGCTTATAGTCCTTGATAAACTATTTAAAAAAATATACGTCTATTGGTAGTCCTTAATTTTTATCATTTGAATTTTGCCTTGTAAGGCCTTAATTTTATTTAAAAAATCCACTCCAGTTAATAGTCCTTAAAAAATGTTTTAAAAAAAAATCCTGTATTTTTGTAGGCTTTGAAAACATTTTTATAAAAAATATCCGATTTGTAAATGTATATTTTTATAAAATTGATTTTCTTAATAAGCTTGAGAAATTTGTCTATTTTTGAAAATAATCCCAACTGTTCTTGTTCAACAACCATGACATACACCCGTGTAAATGTGTCAATACCATGTCTTCATAATTTCTGCATTAGTCATGTTTACAAAAATATTCAAAATAAGTCGGGGTATGGTCGGTTCATCATTCTGCCAGTGAGGCTTTTGGTGGTCATCGTTTATTGCACTGGCACATGCATTAGCCACAACAGCAACAACAACACGAAGAATAATAATAAAAAATAATGAAAAAAGAAAACAAGAAAAAAAAACAGACACACATATAGTCGAAGTACCACACCGTCCGTGCACATCCAAAGTGGGTAAAAGGTAAGCTATGATTTCTAGGCACGTTTGTTATATTTTTTACAACTACTACTGCTGCTGCTTCTTCTTGATTCTACTTCGTTTCTACTTATCGTAAATAATTTAACAAAACTTTTACCGTAATGAAAACCAAAAGGAAAGAAACAAGCACACGAAGTTGTCCAACTACTTCATTAATAAAAATGTCCCGATATGGTGGTGTGTTGATACTGGAGTGGCTTTCTCGGTTTTGTCCACTTCTTGTAATATTTTTGTTTTTGTCACGACCGGGTTAATAATAAAAAAACAAACTTCAGTCGTGAAATTACGCACGGTAAATAAAGTAGCCGACTATGGTGGTAATGAATTCTTTGTTTTTGGTATTTGGTTACGCGTATTTGTTTATCCTTGTTAAGGATACGGAAGCCGAAATAGAACTGAATGTTGCGATGCCAACAACAAAACAGCATTCCTTTAGTTGAGGAGTTCGGAAGCAACAACCATGCCGATGAAACTGTTGTGATTCTGCGCAAGGAATATCAGCTGATTGACATTTTACTATTAACATGACTCTCCTTTCCCCCCACCAACATATTGTTCTCTCCTCAAACGAATTCGCCGTAAAATAACAAAATATTGAAAAATGCCGGAAAATAAAAATAAAAAAATATATATATTTTTTAAATATTTTTTGGAAGGCCTATCAGAGACGTGAATTTTATAAAAAAAAATTAAAAGAATTTCAACGACTACCAAAAGGCGTCGATTTTTATACCCTTCACCACACTTTGGTACTGAGTATTATGTCTTTATGCATATTTTGTAACAGGCAAAAGGAAACGAGATAGACACATGGTTCCTTTTGAGAATAAGCATAGAATCACTTTCTAAGTCGATATATGCATGTCCGTCCGTCTGTTGGTGTTAAATTGCAAACAAAGTACAGGTCGCATTAATAATCCGATTTGGATAAAATTTGGTACAGCTCATTTGTTTGACCCAAGGACGAACCCTATTGAAAGTGGGAAAAATCGGTTCAGATTTAGATATAGCTCCCATATATAGTTTCGTCCGATTAAAAGTAAATGGTGCACCAAAGTCCCTAAATATCTTTCGATTTGCACGAAATTTGGCACAGCGTACTGAAGTAAGCCTAGAATAATGTAGGCCAAGTTTCGTGAAAATCGGTTCGGATTTAGATATAGCTCCCTTATATATTTTTGTCCGATGTTATGTAAATGGTTCACCAATGTCCCTATATATCATTCGATTTGGACGAAATTTGG